GATGAGGGTCGCTGAGCGACTGCCTCCTGCACGCCCCCCACCGGGGATCGAGCCCCCAACTCGCCCTGACGGGGAATCGAACCCGGGACGCTCAACCACTGAGCCACGCTGCTGGGCAAAGATCTCACCTCCTAGAGTCGTGGTCTGAGGTGCTGGGCTCAGGGCTGCAACGTATGAATCTGGGGGGACACAGTCTAGGCCCCCCCTGGCCTCTCTGCCTCCCCTCACTCACGGAGGCGGCTCTCGGGGTGCTTCTCTGGGCTGAGATGAGTTTAGCTAGAACATTCCTCAGCTCAGCAGAGGAGGGTCCCACAGCAGCCCAGGGGGGTCAGTGAGGGCCCCGCGGACCCAGCCCCCTCCCTAGGGCGGCCTGGGGGAGTTGGGAGTGGGTAGGACTCCGCTGGCCCAGACAGGAGGGTCGGAGAGCCCCCCGGGAGCTGGGGTCCCCGCCCACCCCCCAGTGCAGCTCACGGCCCCTCCCCAGGTGGCCGGGACCTGGTTCTCCATGGCCATGGCGGCCAGCGACCTCGCCCTGCTCAGCACCCAGAACGCCCCCCTGAGGCTGTACGTCAAGGAGCTGAGGCCCACCCCCCAGGGCGACCTGGAGATCATGGTGCACAGATGGTGGGTGTCCGGCTGCGGGGAGGGGGCCGGGTGCCAGGACGGGGGGGGGGGGCGGGCAGGGCTCCTGAGGGGCCCGGCTTCCCGTGGGCGGCATGGAGTCGGGGTCGGGGGTCGGGGGGCACGGCCGGGAGGTTCTGGGCCCCTTGGAGCCCCTGCCCACGGCTCTGGGGCCACAGAGCGACCAGGGTCAGTGTGGGAGAGGCCTGTGTGGAGGCCGCTGGCCAGGGGCAGCGGGGTCGAGGCCGGGGCCCTCCCGCCATGGCCCTGTCTGTCCCTGGGGTTAGGAGGGGGTGGCAGAGAGAGCTGGGGGGGCGGATGGGAACCCAGAGCCATCACTGCCGGGGAACACAGGTCAACGCCCTGAGCAAGACCGAGGGCACCCCAGCCCCTGTCTGTGCTCCAGGGGCGTCGGGAACCTGGTCCCCTGTGGCCACTAGAGGTCCCCGTGGGTGTGGGCCAGCAGGGCACCAGCTCCGGCCGTGGGCCTCCCCGGCGCTGGGGTTGGCTGTCTGACCGCGGAGTCTGAGGGCGGCTCTCGGGACACTGTCTTCCAGGGAGGACGGCAGCTGTGTCCAGGGCAAGATCTTCGGGGAGAAAACCGAGGTCCCTGCTGAGTTCAAGATCAACAGTACGTGCTGCCCGGGCGGACGGCCCCCTCCCTCGGTGCTGCCCCGGGCGGACGGCCCCCTCCCTCGGTGCTGCCCCGGGCGGACGGCCCCCTCCCTCGGTGCTGCCCCGGGCGGACGGCCCCCTCCCTCGGTGCTGCCCCGGGCGGACGGCCCCCTCCCTCGGTGCTGCCCCGGGCGGACGGCCTCCTCCCTCGGTGCTGCTGGGCTCTCGAGAGGTCGGCGTGGAGACCCCATTTCTGTCTTTTTTTTTTAAAAAAAATATTTTTATTGATTTCAGAGAGGAAAGGAGGGGGGGGAGAGAGAGAGAATCATTGATCGGCTGCCTCCTGCACGCCCCACCACCTGGGCACGTGCCCTGTCCAGGAATCGCACCCGGACCCTTCAGTCCACAGGCTGACGCTCACCCACTGAGCCAAACCTGCCAGGCCAACCCCCCTTTCTTAACCAGGACACGGGGTGGGTGGGCCCCTCGGAACGAGTGATGACCGAACCCGGGGCCGGCAGGTGGCGGGCGCTCAGGCCCCTGTGCCCGGGGGCGGCTCGGGGAGTGGCTGGCCGGTCGGGGGCGTAGGAGCCGCTCTCCCGTCCTCACCCGGTGGCCGCGCAGGGGGAGCCGACCCGCACCCCCTCCTGCTGGAGGGAAGAACCCGGACTCACCCACCGCCCGGCCCCCTCCAGGCCTGGGGGACGGCAAGGCGCACGTGCTGGACACCGACTACGAGACCTACGCCTTCCTGTGCCTGGAGAACGCCGCGCCCGCCAAGCAGAGCCTGGCCTGCCAGTACCTGGGTGCGCCAGCCGCCCCGGGGGGAGGGGGTCCCAGGGCCCCGGGGGGAGGGGTCCCATGACTGTGCGGGACAGAACGTAGGTGGGGGGAGGGGACACACATTCAGGCGGGGACGGATAGGGGCGGCGAGCGGACGGTGACTCAGGACCCTTCAGGCTTGGCGGGCGGAGGGCTTCAATGACTCTGCCAAGTGCAAAGTCAGCTGCGAGCACGTCTGTCGCCGTAACGTCCGAGAGCAGACGTGGGGACGTTCCCGGGGCACATGCCTCGGGCCCCCAGGGCTCCCCGTGGGTCACAGCCAGTGTGGGCTGGGAAGACGCTCCCACGGCCGGGGCGGAGGGGCCTTGTCCTCCTGGGACCCTGACCCCCACGTGGCCCTGGGAGGGGGCTGGGCCGAGGGGGACAGGGACCTGGAGGACAGGTGGGCAGAGCCCTGTTCGACCCTGGGAAGCGGGGCTGAGCTCTGCTGACCTCAGATGTCGGGGTGTCCTGCCTGCCTCGTCCCGGGCAAGGTCCCAGCTCCCCCAGTCCAGGGACTGACCCCCGCCCCCCACAGCCAGGACCCCGAAGGTGGACCAGGTGGCCATGGAGCAGTTCGGCCGGGCCATGAAGCTGCTGCCCATACACATCCAGATGGTCTTCACCCCGGCCCAGGCGGAAGGTGACCCTGCCCACCGACCCCTGACCCCTGACCCCCGACCCCCTGCCACGGCCCCCAGTCAAAAGGCCATCGCACTGGGAACGCCTTTCTCCCATGGCGGCCTCCCCATCACCCAGGCTTCTCAGGGGTGGATGGGAGGTGGGGGTGCAGAGCCCCTGAGGTGGGGTCCCCCTGAGACCCCTCTGGTTTCCTGGCCGACCTGTGACCTCCCACGCCGCCCCCCCTCCCGCAGAGAGGTGCCGTGTCTAAGCGAGTCCTGCCGACCCGCCTCCTGGGTAACGTACCTGCCCCGCCCCACATCCTGGGTGTGGGGTCCGGGGGGCCCAGGCTCCGCTCCATCACCCCCCCATCACCCCCCCGCCGCCCTCTGACACCCCTGCCACCTGCCCCCCTGCCACCTGCCGGACCCTGTGGGAAGGGCTGGAGCCTGGGTCCCCTGGGGTCTCGGGGATCGGCTGCAGTGCGCCCACCCTCCGAAGGGCGTGAACTGACCTGTGTCTCCTGTGTCCTGGCCACACGCACCTGCAGTCGCCCTGGGGTCCCGGGCCGGATGTGGGGGCCGGGGGCTGGGAGGGCTGGCGAGGGTTGTCCCCCAGGGCCCCAGGGTCACAGGGACCCTCGTGCATTCCAGGACCTCGGTCCCCCTGCAGGACGACATCACCCCTCCTTCCAGCCAGAGGCCCCAGGAGGGGCTGAGGCCCCAAGGCTGCTGGGCGCTGCCCCCCCTGGGACCAGGCCCCTCCGGCTGCTCCCTGGACCCTCTGCTCTGAGCCCCTCACAATAAAGAGACACATCAGAGCCCGTCTGCTGAGTCTTTCCTGGGGGAGGTGGGGCCGGGCTTAGGGGGGCAGGAGGGCAGGGCAGGGGCAGGGCCGAGCATCACAGGCCCCGACATTCAGGGTCAGCACACAGCAGGCTCCTTTCAGCTGCCAGGACGTGGGCAGCCGAGGCAGCTCAGGGGTTAGCGCTGGGACCCGGCAGCACCCCAGCTGCAGGAAGGGCATGAGCCCTGCCGGTCACGCAGCACAGACACCCGACTGCCCAGGCAGAGCCGACTCGAGTTACCGCCGATCAGATCCTGCCTCTCGAACGGCGGCCCAAGGTCGTCTCCCAGGAGCGGGCGGGCCTTGCTCGGAGGAGACCTGGCACCAGGTCCCTGTGTCTGCACCGCGTCCGCCGCGTCCTCCGCCGATGGAAACAGGACCGTCCCGGAGGGAGGAGCTGCAGGGGGGCAGGCGGGAGGGGGCCTCGCTGCTCCTCACAAACTCCATGGCCTCCCCGGGGAGGAGGCGGGCGGCCGGGAGCCCCCCCCCCCCCAGGAGCCATTCAGACGTGTATGATGTCATGCGCGGCCGCACGATCCCCAACTTAAAGCTCGCTGCTCTGCTCTCTCAGACATGTCGTGAGCCCCAGTGCCTGGCAGGGCCGGACCAATGGCTTCACGGGCGCCCACAGCCCGCAGGCCGGACGGTCCCACCCTGGACTGCAGCAACAGAAGCAGGGATTCTTTTTAAAATATATTTTATTGATTTTTCACAGAGAGGAAGGGAGAAGGATAGAGAGTCAGAAACCCCGATCAGCTGCCTCCTGCACACCCCCCACTGGGGTTGTGCCCGCAACCAAGGTACATGCCCTTGACCGGAATCGAACCTGGGACCCTTCAGTCCACAGGCCGACGCTCTATCCACTGAGCCAAACCGGTTACGGCCAGAAGCAGGGATTTTTAAAGAACAATTTACATGCACGTGACAGTATGTGTGCACATTTAAACATGGACAATCCTATATCAGCAGGCAAGGTACCTGCACGTGAGGGGGTCTGTGTAAGGGTGAAGTCGTGTAGAGAGAACGGGGGCACTTCTGGGAAGAGACCAATGACCAGTATCGACGGGGAGAGAAACGCCAGAGAACCCTGAGCAGAGATGGGACGGCTCCCGGGTTCTCGTCGGTCGGGGGGCCGGCGCCTGCTCCCCCTCTGCTCCGGGCCGAGGGTGCCAGGTTTGCTGAGGCACAGCCGGACGGGGCTGGTGCGAACCAGGAGGAAGGGGCAGCCATCCCGGGGGACAGACACAGACCCTGTTATTATAACTTACGAATAACTCGCTAGCGGGCGAGGCGGAGCACAGGGTGCCGGCCGCTCGGGCAGACGGTGCTCCAGGAGGAGCCGGGGAGGGAGCCAGCCTGCGGGACCCGCACACACGCCTCCCGCCCTCCTCCGCCCCCACGGCTCCCAGGCACGTGCCACGTGCCCAAACCGCCCGGACGGCCCTCCCGCCGCACCCGGCACTCCCTTCTCAGGCGCCAGTGCCCTTCCCCGGCCATGGCTCCGGGACCTGCAGGGCGTCCGGGCGGGACGAGCGGCAGCTGGAGGTCGGACATGAAGACGGGGCCCTGGCTGCCCGGTCGCGCCGCCCTCTGGGCCCCCGTGGTCCTGGCCCTTGGCCTGGGCCTGGCCAGCGCCCAGAGGACCCTGGAGGAGGTGCCCGTGCAGCCCGGCTTTGACGTCCAGAAGGTAACGCTGACACGGCCCAGACGCAGCCCAGGGACCAGGGAGACTCTCCCCGCCCTGCACTCGGCCAGGCCACACGACCCAGCGGGCACGGCGGGTGGGCTGAGTACAGGAGGGGCTACAGGAGGGGGGAGCAGAGGGGGGGCAGTGAGGCCTGGGGGGGGGCTGACCACACCCCGCTCCCACCTGGGCCACGGGCACCCGCCAATCCCCCATCCATCCCCCGGGACTGGAGGCTGCGGACCCTCCCCACCTGCACCTGCACCCACAGGTGGCCGGGCGCTGGCTGACCCTCCGGCTGGCCTCCAGCCGGGCACACCTGGTCTCCCCCGACGACCCCCTGAGGCTGGCTCTGCGTTCCATCAAGATGCGGGACGGGGACCTGGAGTTCGTCTTGTTCTGGACGTAAGTGTGGCCCCCGCAGGTCCTGAGGGTGGGGTGCTGGGGGGCCTCCCAAGATGTTGGCATCGGCACCGAGCTGGGGCTGGAGACGCTGCCCTGAGCCGGCTCAGGTGACCCTTAGGCTCCGAAGCTCTGAGGGAGGGCAGGCGGGAGAGACCACACCAGCTGTCTCGCGGCTCAGCCCATCCTGCCCATCAGCTGGGTCCCAGGTGGGCGGGCTGGCCGGCGGCACCGGTTGGGTCCTCATGGAAGAGCTGGTGACACGGGACAAGTGTGCTGACTCAGTGATACCGCAGCCGCGCCCGTGGCGTCAAAGACTGTCATGGCCGCGTCCTTGCCAGACGCGGTGGCCCACTCCCACCATTAGCAACTGCAGGCCCCGGGATGGGGGACATGGGCGGGGGACAAGGGGGGCCTACAGGGGTGCTCTGTGCATGGAGCCAAGTGATGTGGATGCCCGTCCTGGGGCCCCGCCCGAGACCTGAGGCCCGGGGACAGACAGGGTCCAGCACCTCCGGGGGTTCCAGCTCCTTCCCAGCCAGGAGCCCGGCCCTCACTGCAGCCTCCAGCCTCCCCTGCCCCCGTGGGCCTGCCCTCCTGTCCCAGTTGGTGGCCCTAGAGGGCCTGAGGGGCCAAGAGCCTCCCGGGGCCTCAGGGGGAGCAGTCTGAGCTGGCACCACGAGGGGGCGGGGACAGGGACAAGGACAGGGACAGGCAGCCACGGCGAGCTCCTCTCCTTCCCCAGGGCGGAGACGATGTGCAGAGGTGTCCACGTCACCATCCACCCGACTGGGCTCCCGGGCCAGTACCGCGGATCCTGTGAGTCCCGCCCCGGCCGAGTCCCTCGCCGGGGGAGGGGACGCCCGATGCCCTAGCCTGGCTGTGGGGGCAGGGCCGGGGCCAGAGGGAGCCGTCCCTCTTCCTGCCCGTGTCCATGGGCAGCCCACGGGCAGGTCCGGGCGCGGGGGCGGAGACAGGCCCCCTGTCACTGGCTGGGTCTGTCCCCACAGTTGAGGGAGGAGCCCGCATGCACGTCCGCTTCGTCAGCACCAGCAGCGACTACAGCAGCCTCATTCTCTACGTCCGCGTTGAGGAGAGCGGGGACGGCGGGGACGGGGGCGAGGTCACCAGCCTGTGGGCGCTGCTGGGTAGGTGGTGTCTCCCCCAATGCTGGATACCCCCCACCCCATCTGCCCAAGACCTGTGTTTAGTGCCTGCTGCTCTGAGGCGCGGGTGTCAGCCTGGGCTGCTCAGCACGCACCCTCATGCCCCTTGGATGGGTGCCCTGGCCCCCCAGGCCCATCCGTCCACCTCACACTCACACACCCACCGCATCTCATCCCCTCCGTGCTGCCTGTGGGCGTGTCCTGGAGCTGGAGTCTCCATGGACAGATGGGAGAAGCCTCCTGGGGGTGTCGGGGGGAACACTAGATAGAGGTGAGGGAGGGGCCCGGCGTCTGAGACTGGGCCCAGGGAGCCCAGGGGTGGGGGCCACACCACCAGGGTCCCGCAGGCCGGGAGGGGTCAGCGGGGTAGGGGTGGGCACCGGGTCACAGGGAGACCCCTGAGTGCAGTGGGGACCCTCTGGCTGGCCTCGCCTCAGGGGTAGATCCTGGCTCCCAGGAGCCGGGATCCCCTCTGCCGTTGGAGCACAGCCCGTGTGGGCTGAGGGCCGTGCCCAGGGTGCCAACCTGGCCGGCGGGCATCAGCTCAGGCCTGGCCAGGAGCCGGGGGGAGGGGCCAAATCTGAGCATAGCTTCTGGGCTCTCGGCCCCTCACCACCAGCCCCTCTGATCGCAGCCAGACGCTTGCCCGGGGACCCCCAGTGGCTGCGAAGGTACCTGGGGTACGTGAGGGAGTTCCAGCTGCAGGAGGCCCCCGTCTTCAACCTAGAGGGTAAGTGCTACCCCGACTGCACCCAGGACACTGCGCAGGGTTAGGGTTAGGGTTAGGGTTAGGGTTAGGGCTAGGGTTAGGGTTAGGGTTAGGGTTAGGGCTAGGGTTAGGGTTAGGGTTAGGGTTAGGGTTAGGATTAGGGTTAGGGTTAGGGTTAGGGTTAGGGTTAGGGCTAGGGCTAGGGTTAGGGTTAGGGTTAGGGTTAGGGTTAGGGTTACGGTTAGGGCTAGGGCTAGGGTTAGTGTTAAGGTTAGGGATAGGGATAGGGTTAGGGTTAGTGTTAAGGTTAGGGCTAGGGTTAGGGTTAGGGTTAGGGCTAGGGCTAGGGCTAGGGTTAGTGTTAAGGTTAGGGATAGGGATAGGGTTAGGGTTAGTGTTAAGGTTAGGGCTAGGGTTAGGGTTAGGGTTAGGGCTAGGGCTAGGGTTAGGGTTAGTGTTAAGGTTAGGGATAGGGATAGGGTTAGGGTTAGGGTTAGGGCTAGGGCTAGGGTTAGGGTTAGTGTTAAGGTTAGGGCTAGGGTTAGGGTTAGGGTTAGGGCTAGGGCTAGGGTTAGGGTTAGTGTTACGGTTAGGGATAGGGATAGGGTTAGGGTTAGGGTTAGGGTTGGGGTTAGGGTTTAGGGTCAGAGCTTAGTGTTATGTTTTGGGTTAGGGTTAGGGTTAGGGCTAGGGCTAGGGTTAGGGTTAGTGTTACGGTTAGGGTTAGGGTTAGGGTTAGGGTTGGGGTTAGGATTTAGGGTCAGAGCTTAGTGTTATGTTTTGGGTCATAAGTGGAAATGGTGAATATTCTTTGTAAAATCTGGGTTTGCAGTGGAGGAAGCCCTTCTAATTCCCCGTGTTCTTTCCCTCCGCAGCCCAGTGTCCTCCTCCTGAAGCTTACATCCGCCCCCTCCCCTGAGTTTCCTGCCTCCTTCCCCAGCTGCCAGCTGCCTTTCCACCGTCTGCTGCCTGAAGCCCTTCCAGCCTGTGCCCGCCTCACCCTCTTTGTCCCTTTCCTGGCTTCTCCTTGGCTTTGGGTCACCAGGTCCTCTGAAGCCATGGCTGAGGGGCCCACAGCCCCTGCCAGCCTGGCCCGGGCTGAGGTCACTGGGTGGTGAGGAGGAGCCGGTGGCCTGGACTCAGCATTACAGTCCAGCGGACAGAGCCACGGGGGCCTTCGCTGGGAAGGTGGCCCCGTTCAGGGCCTGGCTGGCACCCCTCTGACCTGCCGCCTCCTGGGTCTGCTCTGGGACAGTCCCCGCCCGGTGAGAGGGGCCGTGAGTGACCTGCTGCCCTGAAGAGCCGGGTGAAGAGCCCTGGCACCTGCACGCAGGTGAGCTGAGCCCGGTCACGCCCTCTCTGAGCGCCAGGGGCCCTGTGAGGGCGTGGCCTAGAGGCGGGTGCCCACCTCTGCTTGGACGAGCCAGGGCTCACCCACCGGCCAGGCCGTCTCTTAGGAAACTGGGTCGGGTGAGAGCCTCCATCCTTACATCTGGAAATGCCGGGAGACAGGTCTGACCAGCTCCTGCCCCAGCGACGCCCTCAGTGGGCAGGCCTCCCGCAGGCCAGCAGGGCGGCCACCTGTGCGGGTTCCGCATGAGGATCAGCTGTGAGCGGCCCACAGCCTCCTCGGAACCGGAAACGGACGTGGAACAGAAACGGACGCATTTGGTCACACGGCACAGGCGCACGCGCGGCGGGAACCTCGCACGGAGACAGTGCCCCAGTCCTGACTCTGGGCCCCGGGAAGGCGACTTGAATACACAGACCCGCGATCTCCTGCCTCGTCTCCAAGTGGAACGTTAACAGCCCCGGGTTAGCCTGCACCTTTGAAGCCACCCGATCCGTATCCCGACCACAAGTTTTCCCCAAACTGCAAACCCGATCAAAGCGCCGCCCCAGGGAGACAAGGTTTGGACGTGCTTTAGAGAGGAGTCGTGCCATCTGATCTTGTGGGCAGTTAGACAGGCGTGTGCAGAGCAGAACCGTGGGCCGGGCAGAACCGCGGGCCGGGCAGAACCGCGGGCTGGCAGAACCCATGGGCCAGCAGAACCGTGGGCCGGTTCGGGCATTTTTGAACTTGCTAGAGAAATGCCAGGAGTCTCCCCGTCCCGCCCTCACCGCCCCCCACCCCGGGGAACCCAGGGCTGCTTGAGAACACAGTTCTGCTCTGAGCGATTCTCCACCCCCCGTGGCCTCCGCAGCTGCCCCCTCTCCAGAGCTGGGCCCGTCTCTCCTTAACCATCAACAGCCCGGCCGGCCTCCCTCCCTCCGTTGCTCAGTGGTTAGCGGTCGGCCCTCGGACTGAAGGGTCCCGGGTGCGTTTCTGGTCAAGGGCACATACCTCCGTCACAGGCTGCAGCCCTGGCCCCTGTTGGGGCGCATGCAGGAGGCAGCCCATGGACATGTCTCTCTCACATCGATGTTTCTCCCCCCCCCCCTTCCACTCTCACTAAAACCCAATGGGAAAAAAATCCTTGGGTGCGGATTCACAATAAAACAGAGATAAAATGCCTGCAGCTTTAAAAAACGCACCCGAGATCAATAAAGGAAGGAGATGTTGGCAGAAAGTCCGTCTGTCCGGCCACACGGCAAACGGAGTGACGGAGGGTTAGCGGCAAATGGCCCCAAACCGCGAACCACGCCGGGGCCCCAGGAGTGGCCTCGCGAGTGTTCACCCCCCTTCACACCTCACCTTTCCCCCTCTGCGTCGACATAACGGAGTCTTTCTCCATGAAAAAATGTTTATTTTCTGCCTCCGAGATTATCTGCCGGCTACCTAGCATATACAGAACATTGCCGTGCATGAAACACTACATCGGCCTCTGAGTCTTTATCCGGCTGTGGCCCAGCGGGGTGGCCGATGATCGCCAGGAGGACGGCTCGGGCCGGCGGGGCGCGCGGCTCTGTCCGGGCGGGGCGGCCGGCGGTGTCGGTGCCGGGAGCCCCGGGAGCCCCGGGAGCCAGCCAGCGAGGGGGGCGGTCACAGGTCCCGCTTGGCCAGCTGCAGCACCTTGACGAGCTGCACCTGCAGGGGCGGGTGCAAGTCGGCGTCCCAGTTGTACTCGGGCGACAGCAGCCGGGTGGGCTTGTGCAGGAAGAAGTACTTGTTCAGGTGGCTCTCGTAGGTGCTGTTGAGCCCCTGCCGGGCGTCCTGCAGCACGCCGCCCAGGTAGGCCCGCACCAGGTCCAGCACCCGCGCGGGCGTGCCCCCCACCACCGCGCCGTCGTAGAAGAAGTCGCCCTGGCCGAAGGGGATGCAGGCCGCGGAGCGGGGCCGCCGCTCGTAGGGGAGGTGGCGCCGGTCCCGGAAGTACCACCAGGCGTGCAGCTGGGCCACGGCCGCGCCCAGCGCCTCAGCCCCCATGTCGCCCTGGAAGACGCGGTCCACGCTCATGCTGAACAGGAAGTCCACCTCCCCCCGGATGTGGCTGAGGATGTACTCGCCCAGGTTCTTCATGCGGGACAGGCTGGGGTCCGGCCACCAGCTGTCCGGCCGGATGGCCAGGGCCCGCACGGTGCGCAGGGGCTCGGGGGGCAGGGCCGGCAGCTGGTACCAGTCCTCCACCAGGACGTAGGTGACCACGCGGAAGCCGGGCATGAAGTGCTTGTTGGCCGACTGTAAGAAGGGCTCCAGGTACTGGTCGGCGGCCCTGCCAACGGGGGCACCGGTGGGGGGATGCGGGGAACGGGGTGGGGGGGGCGGAGGGGTGGGGTGGGGGGCGGGCCTCTCAGGGCGGCGGGGACAGCGTCTGAGAGCCGTGGGCCGGGCGAGAAGAGCCGTCAGACTTTGGGGACAACAGCTGGAGAGAGAACTAGTGCTGAGTGGCTGTCGGTACCAAGTTCCCGACCCAGCCCTGGCCTGTGTGCTCAGTGGTTAGAGCGCCGGCCCCGGACCTAAGGGTCTTGGGTTCGATTTCTGTTCCAGGGCACATACCTGGGTTGCAGGTTTGATCCCTGGCATCAGTCGGGGCACATGCAGGAGACAACCAATCGATGTGTCTCTCACATCAATGTTTCTGTCTGTCTGTCTCTCCCCACTCTCTCCCTCCCTTCCATTCTCTCTAAAAATCAATGGAGCCCGGCCAGTGTGGCTCAGTGGTTGAGTGTTGACCTGTGAACCAGGAGGTCAGGGTTTGATTCCCGGTCGGGGCACAGGCCTGGGTTGCGGGTTCGATCCCCAGTGGGGGGTGTGCAGGAGGCAGCCGATCCATGATTCTCTCTCATCACTGATGTTTCTCTCTCTCCCCCTCTCCCTTCCTCTCTGACATCAATATAAATATTTTTTCTAAAAATAAATAAAATAAATAAAGATCAACGGGAAAAACTGGGTGAAGATTAACAACAGAAAAGGCAATGACCCAGCCGGACGGGGCGATGGCCAGGGCCCAGGAGCCCAGTCACGGGCCGACCAGCAGCTCTCCGAGGCCGAAGGGCCCCGGTGCCCGTCGATCTCTGGAACAGGGCAAAGGGCAGAGGCGCGCGGCCCTACCTGCCGGCGGCGAAGACCACCAGGCCCACGGTGAGGTTCTGCCTCTGGTAGTGCCGCCCCAGCACCTGCCTGTCGAAGGTGCCCTCCCAGATGACGGGGGCCAGCCAGTCAGTGGTGGTCACGACGTCGGGCCGCTTCCTGTGGGCAGATGAGTGAGTGGCAGCTGCAGGGGGCGGGCCTGTGCTGACCGTGAGGCCGCGGACACTGGCACCACCTCCTACCCCCACCCCCCCCTTTTCCTACAGGGTCTGGGTGCTTTTTAAATCCTCACCGAGGATACTTTCCACTGATTTTAGAGAGAGTGGAAGGGAGGGAGGGGAGAGAGAGAGAGACATGGATTGTGCCTCCTGCACACACTCCAACTGGGGCCAGGGATTGAGCCTGCAGCTGAGGTGCGTGGCCTCAACCGGAATCGAACCCGGTACCCTTTAGTCCACAGGCTGGCGCCCTAGCCACTGGGCCACCCCGGCCGGGGCGGGAGGCGCCTTTCTAGCCTCCCCTCACGCTCTGCGTCCGCCTCTGCAGTCAGCAGACATGGGGTGACCGTCTGCCTCTGCAGTCAGCAGACATGGGGTGACCGTCCGCCTCTGCAGTCAGCAGACATAGGGTGACCGTCCGCCTCTGCAGTCAGCAGACATGGGGTGACCGCTCCAGACAGTGTTGGACGTGCTCTCACTAACAGGGGTCCAGGGTGCTGGCGTGGAGCTGGCCCACAGGTGAGAGCCGGCGCCGGCTCCCGTCCCGGGCTCTGTCGGTGACACAGCCGAGCATCGCACCGAGCCCACCCACTCGCGATCAGACGAAAAGCTCTCAGAAACACGGCGAGGCAGGGTGACCTCCACCTGACAGAGAACATCTGTGACATCGCAGCTGCCGTCATGCTCAGCGGTGAGAGGCCGCCGGCCCCCCCTCCCCCCAGCCGGGCGAGGCAGGGGGCCGCTCACCAGCCCGCCCTCGGCAGACGTGCGCCAGCCCCGGCAAGAAGGCAAGAAAGGAAAAAGCCCGCCGCGGGGCTCAGTGCTGAGCATCCACCTAGGAACCAGGAGGTCACAGTCTGATTCCCGGTCAGGGCACAGGCCCGGGTTGGGGCTCGATCCCCAGCGGGGGGCGTGCAGGAGGCGGCCGGTCCATGGTTCTCTCTCATCGTTGATGTTTCTCTCTCTCCCTCTCCCTTCCTCTCTGAAATCACTGGAAGTATTTACGAGAGAAAAGGAATAGCGGCTTCGATCGGAAGGAAAACACGTACGGCCCCTGTTGGCAGGTGACCGGTGTCCACCCAGAACCCTCACGGGGAAGCGGCCCCCTCCCCACATCGAGTCGCCCCGTTCCTACCTGGGGTCGAACCAGTCCGAGAGCCGGAGCTCCGCCCCCCGGTTCCTGGGGCAGAGGGAGACGGCGTTAGCTGTAACCACGCGGTCGGCAAACGCTTGCCCAGCCCCCGGCCTGGCGGCTGCTGGCGCCGTGTGGATAGCCGTGCAGGTCCAGCCCAGCGCCCGCCCCGGGGACGCTGACCAGAGGAGCCCAGTGGTCCCCGAGGGAGGTGCTGGCGGGGACGGGGCTGCTGGGAGCCTCAGAGGCACCGTCCACCCACCTGGTGGGGAGAGCGCCCACCTGGCCTGGAGGGAGCCGGTGGTCAGGGACGGGTTAGGGTGAGCGGGTGACGGCCGGGGGGAGGGCGAGGGGGGTCAGGGGGGCACGTGGTGGGGAGGATTAAACCCCGACCAACAGCCGTTAGAGTGTGTGTGTCCGGACCACATGCAGGTTCAGCTCACGCTCATCGCCCAGCAGTGCCTTGACTGTGCGTCTACGTCCGTGGTTCTCACCCTTGGCTGCACGTGAGAATCGCCTGGGAATCTTTAAAATCCTGATTTCCCGGCCTCATCCTCCGGAAATTCTGTTTCTTTGTTACTAATGCTGTGGCCCCACCCCATCACAAAGAGACAGAATTTCCGGAGGATGAGGCCCAGAAATCAGGATTTTAAAGATTCCCAGGCGATTCTCATGTGCAGCCAAGGTTGAGAACCGCTGGTCTGCGTGGAGGTGGAGTGTGACTGTGCCTCTCAGTTAATTATGTAGCCGTCAGCTCCGTAGGCACCGCCGGCCGTCACCTGGGCCATTTGGTAAAGACGAGAACCGGGTCTGAGGGCGTCCGTCCCCACGTTATCAGAGGTGTCCAGCCCGGCGGCCGGCGGGGCCCAGGGGCTGAGCGTCCACCTCCGAACCAGGCGTCACGGCTGGATCCCGGCCAGGGCCCCCGTGCTGTCCACTCCCGGCTCCTCTCCGAGGCCGGCTCTCAGCCCAACCCCTGCCCGCCCGCCCAACTGTTTCCCATCCAGCCCAGCCGCCTGCGGTCAGCCGGCTCCGCACAAACCGCAGCCACATGCGCTCCCGAGCTGGCAGACCGGGCCCTGCCCTCGGGCCCTGAGCCTCGGCGCCCTCCCAGCTGCTGGACGCCAGCGGGCAGCCGTCCCCACTGTCTCCCAGTGCCGCCTCTCCGGCCGCGTTTACCTGAGGTGGCGCCCTGCCCACAGGAGCGAGAGGGCCAGAGAGACCAGCAGCAGGAGTTTCCTCTTGGAGCCCCTTCTCATCTGGGGGAGGAGCGGGGAGAGGGCGGGAGTTACACCGGACGCTCAGCCTGCAGCCTCCTCTGGGCACTGAGGGCTCCTCACCACGCCAGCTCACTGCATAGAGCAGCTGCAGGGCCTGGCGGGCGCGGCTCAGGGGTTAGCGTCGACCCTGAACCAGCGGGTCACGGATTGGTGGGCTCGATCCCCAGTGGGGGGCGTGCAAGAGGCAGCTGATCCATGATTCTCTCTCATCATAGGTGTTTCTATCTCTCTCTCCCTCTCCCTTCCTCTCTGAAATCAACCAATCAATAGCCTTTATGTAATAAAAGGCTAATATGCAAATCGACCGAATGGCGGAACCACCAGTCACTATGACCTGCACTGACCGCCGGGGGCAGACGCTCAACGCAGGAGCTGGTGGTCAGTGGCTCCCAATTAATCAACCTGCTTCTCTCCACCGCTTGCAACGTGGCTACTAGGAAACGGGCCGTTGCCACTGTGGCTTCTGGTGTTTCCCTCGGACAGGCCACCCATCCGGGCGGTGCCCACGCCCCCTCGCCGTGCAGCTGAAGAAGTGCCACAGGGTGGGTCGGACGGGGCCCTCCATCAGACGTCCCTCCCCCAGGGGCACCCTCACCGTGGTTAGAGGCGGAGGAGGCGCTCCAGGAGGACGGGTGCTCCGAGCTCCGGCTCTGGGTCTCTGCCCCCCTCCTTGCTCCTGGGGCTGGGCCTTCCTCACTGTGAGGTCACAGGCCCTTGGATGACGTGAGTGAGCCGGCCGCAGTCTCAATGCTCCGCTGGTTGCCGGGCGACGGCCCGTCCGGTTGAGTAACTAAAGGTGTTTGTAAATGTGCTGCTTCCTCTGTGGCCCCCGCCCAGGGACCGACCTGCTTCCAGGAGGAATCTGCGTGGGGTGTGTTCACGCAGGTGGCAGCGGGTGTGGCAGGGGTGTGGGCGGGGCCTCCGTCTGCATCCTCTGACAATGTCCATTCCCCGAGGGCCCCCCTGCTCTTTTTTTCTTAAAAAACTTTAAAAAAAAAAAAAAAATATATATATATATATATATATATATATATATATAATTTCTTTATTGATTTCAGAGAGGAAGGGAGAGACATCAATGATGAGAGAGAATCATCGATCAGCTGCCTCCTGCACGCCCCCCCTGGGGATGGAGCCCACAACCTGGGCATGTGCCCTTGACCAGAATCGAACCCGGACCTCCTGGCTCACAGGTCGATGTCAACCATGGAGCGGCGCCGGCTCTTCGGGGAGTTCCACGCCTCCGCCTCCGCCTCCTGCGCTGCCCCTCGTGCCGAGACCGTCAGATGCGTGAAGGCAGGTGGTCTCGGCCGTCCCCACTGTGAGACGCCGCCTGGACGTGAGGCCCTAGTGCATCTGCGGTCTTTATTTGAAAATAAATTCCGTTTTCTTCTGGAGAGAGCGGCCTGCACACGCGGTGTGCTCGTGGCCCGCGGTCGCCGTGACCGGAGAGCAGGCCCTGGGCTGGAGCACAGGATGTCTTTCCTCGCCGTTGTGGGGCCGAACCCGCCACTGCGGTGTCAGGGCCGCGCTCCGCCGGCTCCGGGCGGGGGACAGAGCCCCTCCACCTCTGTCCCCACGTGACGTCCGCCCTGTGTGTGTCCGTGTCTCCGTGGCGGCCTCCCTGCTGCCCAGCCGTGTCCACGCTCGCGGCCCCCGGGAAGCTGGGGGGACAGCGCCGAGGGCATCGCTCTGAGGCCTGAGGTTCTGGGAGACTCTGGCGTGGGCTGCCTGGAGCCTGGTCGGTGCTTAATGAACAAGGAATCGCCCGATCGACAGCGGACCTCTGCTCGGTGCTTAAACGGGGTTTGGTGTCCAGTGTCCTGCAGCCTCCCCTCCCCGACCACCAACCCCCCTGGCGCCTGAACACCGTGCGAGGAGACGGGGACGCCCCAGCACAGCGCTGGGACCCCGGCCGGGACGGGGACAGGGTGGAGGCCAGGCCACCTCCGTCTGACCTCACGTCTGTGTCCTTCGGCCCTCACGCCTCAACCCCGAGTCCCTCCCCCTCGGGAGTTATCCCGTCCAGGACCTGGTGGAGTTTCACCCCGAAGTCACAGTGATGTCCCCGAGGCCAGGGCACCCCACACAGCGTCCTGCACATGAGGCTACACGGGGCCCCAAAATGCTCTCCGATGGGCACACCCAGGCCAGGCAGGGTGGAGGGGGCAGGGGGAGCCCGGGGGGACCATCCAGCCTCCTGGAGAGGCAGTGCGACCTTGCAGGGGGTAGGGGGGCAGGGCATCTGGCTGCCCCTTGCCCGTGGGTCCCCTCTTCCCTCTGTGGCTTCTGACCCAGCCGGACGCCCTGTCCAGCAGATTCCGAGCGAGCCGGTTGCCGGCTGCACCTGGCCAGCGGTGGGGGCGGCGGCCGCAAGGCCTTGGCTGCGTTCCCTGGTGGGGAGGACGGGCGGGGGAGGGCAGTGCTGGACGGAAGGGACCCGGGGTATAAAGGGGAGGGAGGGCTCAGGCCAGGCGCCCGCCGAGGGGATGGCATTGCTGCTGCTGCTGCCGCTGGGCCTGGGGCTGAGCCTGGCCTCCGCCCAGGAGCTCAACCTTCAGTCCGTGGTTCGTGGGAATTACGACCCTGCCAAGGTGGGCCAGGGCCGCCCTCCGGGCACCGGACACTGTCCCCCTCAACCGGGCTCCCTGACCTGCTCAGGGCGCTGCTCCTCAGGGGCCCACTTCTCCTCCCCAGCCGTGACGGCAGCCTGGGGGATAGGGGGTCCCTGGGGGGAGACAGGGTCCCTGCAGGGCACATGGGGTCCCTGGGGGGCTAGGGGGTCCCTGGAGGGCGACGTTGGCCCTGGCTGGGCGCCGTGTGCCAGGGGCCTGGCCCCGAGGGAGGCCCAGGAAGCCCAGAGCCGCTCTGCAGGCCCCCACGCGATGCCTCTGCCTGCAGGTGTCGGGCGTCTGGTACTCCATCTCCATGGCCTCGAACGACATGAAGCGGATCGAGGAAGACGGGGACCTGAGGGTCTTCATCCAGAAAATCCAGAGCGTGGCCAACGGCAGCCTGCAGTTCTTCTTCCACTTCATGTGAGCGCTGCTGCGCCTGCCGCGGGTCAGCCTGGGCCGGTGCCCCCACCCCCACAGACCCCCTGCACCCCCGTGACCAGCCCGATCCTGTGGGTGCACTGCGGGGGCGGCGAGAGGCGGGGGGGAGGGGGGCAGGGGGGGAGGCTCAGGGGCTCACCCAGGCCGTGTGCAGGCTGCACGGGGACTGCGTGGAGGTGGCCATGGTCTGCGAGAAGACGGAGAAGGACGGGGAGTACACCCTGGCCTGTAAGTGGGGGCCTCTGCATTTCCCGGGAGCTCTGATTTCAGGGCTCTAGGGGACCCCGGATGGCTGGAGCCCAAGTGAGGGGGCCCAGCCCAGCCCGCAGCCCCAGGGCCCCACAGACCCGCTGGGACGGCCCCTGGCTCGGTCCCCCAGGGAGGCCAGGGCCACCTGAGGGGGTACGGTGTGCTCACGCTGCCCCCCACCAGCCAGGGCCCCCCACCAGCCAGGGCCCCACACCAGCCAGGGCCCCCCACCAGCCAGGGCCCCACACCAGCCAGCCCCCCCCTTCTGGCCACCTCCACCCTCACCCCCACCACCCGGCCACCGGGCACCCAGCCCCTAACCCAGGGCGGCCACGGCGCTGCCTGGCTGCTGAGCCTCGCCTCCACGCAGACGCGGGGGACAACAGGGTGCAGCTGTGGGAGACGGACTACATGCTCTACGCCACCTTCCACCTGCACAGCGTCAGGAACGGCACCCAGACCCGCGTGCTGGCACTCTACGGTACGTCTGCCGGAGCCGCCTCCGCGACCCTCCCCCGAGGACGGCCCACCCTGCAGGGCCCCCCAAGCCCAGGCCCCCCCCAAACCCCCACCCCCGTCAAGTCCCATCCCAGGGGGAGGTGCCAGCCTGGCAGTCACGCCCCTCAGCTCCCCGCTGCCCAGGCCCCGGAGACCCTCCCCCAGCTGGTCCCGAGGGACGGGAGGGACCCTCTGTCCATCTGTCTGTCCGTCCGCAGGTCGGATACCAGAGCTGCCCCACAGCTTCCTGCACAGATTTGAGAGGCTCTGCAGGAAGCAGGGGCTGGGCCCCCAGAACATCGTCAGCCTGAGCACCCGGGGTAGGAGGCCGCCCTGGCTGGGAGCTGGGGGGTGGGGACCCCGAGGCCCGTCTGAGAGCCACTCTCTCCCCAGACCCGTGCGTCAGGTACCGGCGGTAGAGGAGAGCGGCCGGCGGCGGCGGGTGCGTGTGCTTGGCTGTGGGTGCGTGTGGGGCGCGGGGCAGCAGCAGGAGGCTGGTGGGACCGGGGGGTGGGGGGTGGGGAGGGCAACACCCCTAGCCCAGCCCTCACCCACCTCCCGGCTTCCTGGGGCTCCCGCCCCCCCAGGTCCCCGCCCTCACGTGGGGTGACTGACAGCCAGGGGTTTGTTCTCCGCAGTCAGGACACAGGAAGTCAGACATCGAGGCGCTGGCCACGCTCCCTCTGTGGTCTCCGGTGGGGGTCCCTCCCACCCCTCCCAGCCCCCATGGCTCCCGGCCGGGCTGGCGGCCACATCCTCACCTCTGCCCCCGGGGACACGCCTTCTCTCTGTCTCGCTCCTCTGGTCTCTAAGGACACCTGTCCCTGGACGTAGGGCTGGACAACCTGGGGTGGGTGGTCTCACCTCGAGTTCTGTCCCTTAATCCCACCTGCAAGGCCCTTTCCCAGTACAGCCCGCCCCCGTGCCTGGGGTGGGGGTCTGAGCACAGACACCCCGGGGGCACCACGCAGACACCCAGGGGGCGGGCGGGTGCCAGGTGCCCTGTCAGTCCTCCGGCCTCGTGGGAACCCGCACTTGTCTCAGAATAAAGGGTGTCCACCCGGCCGCGGGGCTCAGGGGCTGAGCGTCGACCTGTGAGCCAGGAGGTCCGGGTCCGAGTTCCGGTCGCACAGGCCCGGGTTGTGGGCTCCGTCCCCAGTGTGGGCTGTGCTGGAGGCGGCCGTCAATGATTCTCTCCCCACTGATCTCTCTCTCCCCCCTCCTCTCTGAAATCAGTAACGATATATTAAAAAACCAGAAACAAGGAAGTGTGTGTGGTTCCTCCCTCAGATCCCAGCCGGACAGTCGCCTCCCTTGTCCCGTCGACGGCGCTTCCAGGCGCTGGCCCCGCCCGGCTCCTGGCCCCTCTGCCCCCACCCAGGTTCCCTCCCTCCTCCCCTTCCCTTGGGACAGAAACCCCCAGGATGGGGCCACGGTCAGGCCCCTGGCTGGGGTCAGCCCCGAGCCCCAGGGCTGCTCCCTCACGGCTCACACTCTCGGGGTGCCAGTGGGACCTCGCTCCCCCTGAGCCCCCCTTGCCTGGGCTCGGGGCTGTGGGAACAGGAGCTTCGCCCCCTCCAAGGCTGCCAGACGCGGGCCAGCAGCTCCGTGGGGGCGGCCATGGCTGGGGCGTGGGCACTCCCTCCCCTGCCCCCCTCCAGCTCCCTGTCCAGGATCTCGGTCCGGCCCCTGGGCTGTGGCCGGGGAGGCGAGGCAGCTGCCCACGCAGAACCGGCCGGGAGGGCGCTTAGGAGGTGGCTGCCGACAGGGCGTGCGGACACAGGGACGGCCCTGCCGGTGTGGCTCATGGAGCATCCAGCCCGCGGACTGAAGGGTCCCGGGTTCGAATCCGGTCCAGGGCACGTACCTCGGTTGCGGGCGCCATCCCCTGCCCCGGTCGGGGTGCATGTGGGAGGCCAGTGATCGGTGTGTCTCTCACATCGATGTTTCTCTCTCTGCCCCCCCCCCCATCCCTTCCTCTCTAAAAATCAGTGGGAAAATATCCTTGGGTGTGAGGAATAACCACCAAAAAGACACCCAGGACCAGAGACACTGCCCGCCACAGGGAGTGCAGGGGGCTGAGCCCAGCGCCGGGTCCCGAGCTGCCCAGACCACAGGGCACAGGGAGCAGCGGTGGGCAGGGCGCTGGGCCCGGGATCCCGGCTCAGGGCACAGACACCGACTGTCCTCGCGGTGGCCTGCGGGCAGCTGAGGTCACACCCCACGAACGGTCCAGACAAGACGGCGAGTCTATCGTGCAAACACGGGGGGGTTGGGGGGGGGGGCTTGTTCGAGGACGGGATGTGGGGGGACTCCCGTCACCGCGGGCAGCGTGAGCGGACAGGGGCCCGGCCTGTGTCTAACCTCACCCCGCTCCCTACGACCAAAATGCTTTTATTTTCAGTTAAAACAGGCGTTGGTCGCCCTGACAACCGTCGCGCACACACATTGCGGCCAGTCATGTCGCTGCTGTTTGATCAAGACACACCCGGGGCCCGGCCGGGAGGCTCGGTGGTTGAGGGTCGACCTATGAACCAGGAGGTCACGGTTTGATTCCTGGTCAGGGCGCATGCCGGCTTGCGGGCACAAATCCCCAGTGTGAGGCGTGCAGGAGGCAGCTGATCAATGTTTCTCTCTCATTGATGCTTCTATCTCTCCTCTCCCTTCCTCTCTGAAATCCATAAAAAAAAATTGGGGGAAAAAAAAGGTGCAGGAGGGGACAGGCTGCCGAGGTCCGGCCGAGGGCTAGTGCCTCTGCCGAGGAAGCCGGGGACATGGGGGGGGGGGGGGGCGGCGGGCACCGGGGCCTGGCAGGGGCGGGGATTCAAGCCCTGCTTTTCCAGCCGCCCTGAGATCTATGCTGGGTCCCAGGATCACCCCTAAGGTGGCCAGATGCCACCTGTCCAGCCAGCGTGTGGGAAGCCCAGGTGGGCAGGCGGGCAGGAGGCAGGAGGGCAGGAGGCAGGCGGGCAGGAGGCATCCATGCATGGGGCTGGCTTCCTTCCGGAGGCGGGGGAGGGACCCGTGGGTTTATCGGGACCAGGGTCAGGCATGAGCACCCGCGGACACATTTCCTTCTCCCCAGGAGGCCTGGGCCGGAGACGGGCCCCCCAGGGGGTGGGGGTGGGGGCTGAGAGCCAGGAGGCTCGGGCCTGCGTCCCTCCCTCAGGCACGAAGCCCACGGAGCTGGTGGTGCCCGTGGGTGCCCTGGCTCCGGGCAGGACCTCTGTAGCCAGAGGCTGGAGGGGGACGCTGAGCAGCACCACGTGGTGCCCGTGGTGACCATAGGGCAAAGGGCAGGTGGACGGGGAGGGTGGTGGCCAGAGCAGCTGGTCGGCTCCCAGCCGCGGCTGCCCGTCACCGACGCCCACCAGAGTGTCCTGCTGAGGGCGTGGCCTGGCAGTGCCTGGGGTCCTGTGGGCCCCATGTCCCAGGACCCGGGGCGGGGGGGGGGGGGGGACGCAAGGGCAGGGGGACGGGGACGAGGGCCTGCAAGCATCCGGCTCTCACCAACGCCCTGTGCTGGATCACAGCCCACAGATTGACAGAGAGCTGTGATTTGGTTCACAAAGGGCCCAGGAGGGAGGGCGGAGGGGGCGGCAGGAAGCTGTTCGGAACCTCACGGCTGCTTTCAGCTCCAGCCCAGCCAGAGCCCCCGCGGCCCTTCCTCCCCCAGCTCACCTGGGGCTCCTCCTCAGAACAGGCGCCATCAGGCCCCGCCTGTCACCACCTGCAGCCACACGCCCACCTGTCACAGGCGGGGAGGGCAGCCCCCCCCCCACAGCCCAGGTCCAGGGGGCGGGCATGGACACGCCCCATCATTCTCAACCCCCCCTCCCCCGGGGGCCTGAGGCAGCACCGTGAGCTCTGCCTGGCCCTGAGTCGGGGGCTGGTCCCTCCCCTTCTATTGGGAGCCCCCTTGGGCCTCAGGGCTCTGCACCCAACCTCACACCTGACCCCCCAGAGGCAGCCTGCTCCCAGGTGGGCAGGGCTCAGAGAGCCAGTGTCTGCCCTGGTCCCCTCCCAGGTCCTGGAACCCAGATCCACAGCGTAGGGCCGGGGGGGTAGGGGGGGAGTGAGGGGGAGGGGGGATGTCAGCAGGGGTCACCACATGGGTGCTCAGCAGGCTCAGGGCGCTGGGCCCCAGCCAGGGACTGCAGCATCCCACCCGGGGGGGAGGGGCGCTGGCCTAAACTCAACAACACACGTGTATAAACCCACAGGACTGCATAGAGGCATGCACACACGTGCACATACACACGCGTGCACACACCGGGTCTTTTTAAAAAATATATTTATTTCAGAGAGGAAGGGAGATGGAGAGGGAGGGAGAGGAACACAATGATGAGGATCACTGATCGGCTGCCTCCTGCACGCCCCACACTGGGGATGGAGCCCGCAACCCGGGCACGTGCTCTGACCGGAATCGAACCCTGACCTCTGGGTTCATAGGCTGAAGATCAACCACAGCCACGCCGGCCGGGCCGGGGTCAGACCAGGGCTGTGGGAGCTGACGTGACTATCGAGGAGCCAGGCCGGCCCTTGAGAGCTCTTGGTCTGGATGCTCTGGACACGGGCAGCGGGCGGGCCAGGCCCTTCCCCGTGGGGCTCCTGGGGGGGCTGCTGCCCACGGCCCAGGGCTGTGCTCAGGGTCTCCAGGACCCTGCTGGATGGTGGCCCAGGGGGCGGCAGCCACCCCGGCACCCACCTGGACCTGGGCCTGGGCCTGGGCCCTCCAGCTCCCAGGGCCCGGCTTGTGATGACGTTTTCTCTCCCTGCACATCCTCCCACGTCACTGGCCCCACCTTTGTCTCAGTGACTCACTGGGGAATGAATGGAACCTTCACGAGGCTTCGGGGCGGAGGGGAGGCAGGGCTGGGCGGGCTGCTCTGCACGGCCGAGGTCGCCCTCTGCAGGGAGAGACCCCTCTGGTCCTGGAGCAGGGACTGCCCGGGGGCCGGGAGCCTGGAGCCGGTGCCTCTGTGTGGGTGACCCCCGGCCAGCTGGGGCCAGAGACCGGCTCTGCGGCGGCTGGAAATCGGGGGCTCAGAGCAGAGTGAGCCTGGCCAGACACGGGCTGGGCCACCCCCACCTAACCCAGCCCGTCCCCCGATCCCGAGGCAGGAGCCGCTGGGACTGAGTGTGCACACCGGGGTCCAAATACTACAGGCAGGTGCCTCTCCTCCAGCCCCCCAGGGGGACCCCATGGACCCTGGGGGACCCCTTAGACCGGGAATGGAACCGAGACCTCTGGGTTCATAGATCAAAGTTCAACCACAGTCACGCCGGCCGGACACGGGGTCAGACCAGGGCGTGGGAAGAGGAAAGGTCACACCCACCTCCCTGGGGCGGGGCGGGGACACAGAAGGCTCAGTCTGTGGGCCCCGTGCCCTGAGTTCCGGGGCTGGGTTCCTCCCGGTTCCCCAAGGCCCAGACGCACAGAACAGAGGCCGGGCAGGCTGCCTCTGCAGGAAGCGGTCCCTCCGCCCGAGTCACGTCATCACACCTCAGAGTCCTTCCTCCGAACTCCTTCCCTTTAATGCTCAGCCCCCACTGTTCCCACAGCCCCTCACCCCCACAGCCCCTCACCCCCCACAGCCCCTCACCCCCACAGCCCCTCACCCCCCACAGCCCCTCACCCCCACAGCCCCTCACCCCCCACAGCCCCTCACCCCCACAGCCTCTCACCCCCACAGCCCCTCACCCCCACAGCCCCGCACCCCCCACTGGAATTAGAACACAGCTGCATCCCAGACCCAAAATAATTCGCCTAAGCAGCACGTGCTGCTGCGGAGGCCCGTCCCGGCCGCCTAGCAGGAAAAGAAGTCGGGGAAGATGCTGTCCACCTCGTCCCAGAAGGTCAGGCTGGGGCAGCCCACATCCCAGCCCCATGGCTCCAGGGGGCCGTCCGGGGTCTCCTGGGCACTGGGCTCAGGGTCCGCCAGGAAGCCCGGCTCCGTCCTGTCCAGGGGGCTCCCGGCCGGGGCCTCAGAGGGGGCACTACTGTCTCTGCCCTCGGGGGGCCCTGGAAGGAGACAGCGCAGGTGCCGGGCGGGGGAGTGGGCAGAGGAGGCCCATCCCCGCCCACCCGCTCAGAAGCCCTTTGCCCACCGATGAGATGGCGCCACGAGGGGCCAGGGCTGACGTCGGGCCCACACTTGCCGGCCCCGCTCAGGGCCCAGGAGGACCCGTGGGGCCAGGCTCAGGCGGCGTTTTCTACTCACACTGAACCCACAGACACTCTGCTCAGCACTCGCCCTCGTGGGGACGCAGTCTAGACAGAGGGCACCGAGGCCGACGCACAGGGACACACACCCAGCCCAGCCGCACTCATACGCACTCACTTACAGACACACTCACGCTCTCACACACACACTGAGACACAAACTGAGACACATACATATATGCTCACCTGCACACTCACACTCACAGATTCACACTCACACACACGCTCACACACACTCACACACACTCACACACATGCTCCCTCTCACACAGACACTCCCACAGGCCCCTTTCACTGCCCCAGCCCAGGAGACCAGGAGCTCAGGCACAGGGACCCGGTGTCACCCTGCAGGCTGGGCCCGTTCACTCTCCCACCGTCCCAGCCCCCCGTCAGGAGGGCCGAGGCCCACAGCCGGCCCAGAGGGGGGTAGGCGGCCACCCGCGTCCCCACTCACCCAGCCACCACTCGGGACTGGCACTCAGCAGCAAGGACGGCCCGTCCTCCACTCCACACGCGGGCACGGACCTGGGTGGCAAGGAGACCTGCCCTGAGTGCCCCCAGGTCATCTGCGTCTTCAACCTCAAGGGAAGGGCTGGCCCTGAAAGGCGGCTGCAGGTCCAGACAGCTGGGGGCTCCTGCCCGCCCCGCCCCGCCCAGCCCAGCACCAGCGCAGGAGCCCACTGGCTCAGGAGAGCCTCCCGCTCCCCCACTACGCCCAGCGCCGGCCCATCAGCCCAGACAAGCCCATTGGTCAGAGGACAGTGTTTTCAAAAACACACATCAGAAGCCACAGGGTCCGGCCTGGCCGACCTGAGCTAGGCAGCCTCACAGTGAGGGAGCGAGGGGAGCACCTTCCCATGGCAGGCCTGGAGGGCACACACACAGGCAGGCACACATATGCGGGCACACACAGGCAGCACATTCGTGCACACACAGGAAGGCACACGTATGCGGGCACACACAGGCAGCACATTCGTGCACACACAGGCAGGCACGCGGGCAGGCACACATGTGCACACACAGACAGGCACACATATGTGGGCACACATGTGCACACACAGACAGGCACATGTATGCGGGCACACATGTGCACACACAGGCAGGCACACGTATGCGGGCACCCATGTGCACACACAGGCAGGCACACGTATGCGGGCACCCATGTGCACACACAGGCAGGCACACATATGCGGGCACCCATGTGCACACACAGGCAGCACACACATGTGCACACATGGGCACACATGGGCAGGCACACATGTGCACACACAGGCAGGCACACATGTGTACACAGGCAGGCACACGTATGCGGGCACCCATGCGCACACACGGGCAGGCACACGTATGCGGGCACACACATGTGCACACACGGGCAGGCACACGCCCGCAGGGGACCCACCTGGTGCCCGGCATCGCAGTCTGGGTAGTCTCCTCTGTCAGGGGCCCAGCCAGGCCCAGGCAGCTCTGAGCCTCTTCGCTCAGCGGGGAGGTCGGCTGCCAGGAGCAGGGAGGCCAGGCTGGGGGCGGCCTCAGGACCTGGGAGGGACTCGGGCCTGGGGTCCAGGGTGCCAGAACGGAGGTCCCTGTGAGAGAAGTGAGGGGTGGGTCAGCCTTTCCCCCGGGGAGTGGCCCTCCCCTGAAGACCTCAGCCCTGCTCGCTGAGCGCTGCCCAGGATGGGGCTCAGAGCAGAGGCAGGCAGGTAACCAGGTGACCAGGTGAACGCCCAGAGGGAGGCACCTGACGCCTGCGCCCAGGAAGGCTTCCTGGAGGCGGTGCCCACCTGGCTTCAGGCCAGCCTGTGGGGCTCGGACCTGGAGACACCTGTGCTGCTGCCGCCTCCCCTCCATGTGCCCGCAACCCCTGTCCTGGGCACCACCCTCAACGCGGCTCCCTGATGCGGCCTCTACACCCTGTGTCCTCTGTGCGGGTCCTGCAGCTCCCTGGTGGCCCCCGTCTGCCCACAGCAGACGCCCCCCCCCCTCGGTGGGCACACTCAGGGAGTGGGAAGGCGTGGTCTCGCCTCCGTGGCACTTGGGCACAATGACACACGGCAAATGCATGTAGGCAGCTTAAATGCTGTCACCAGCGGCCACGGTGCAAAGAGTGACAGACAGCTGGGCAGGGTCCAATATGAGGGGGACGCAGGCCTCCGGGGCACCCCGTGGGCTTTGGGGGGGCAGGCAGGGAACAAAGGCCCCATGTGGGGGAGGGAACAGCCTGGGGTCCATGACTCACTCCTACAGAACAGAGAAGCCAAGGGGCTGGCAGAGTGGGGGCTGCTCTCGGGGAGCCGGACACAGGGGTGAGGAGGGGTGAGCGGGGGCAGCAAGTCCATGTCCGCACACTTTCTGGGGGACCTGGGACCGTGCTTGTGCGTCACACTCACCAGGGAGGACTGCTGGCCTGTCCAGCGCCTCGGCCAGCCCCGTGGGGGCCTTGCCCTGGTCCACACCGGTGGTCACCCTGCTCGGGGGCCCCTGCGGGCTGGACGGTGCAAAGACAGGGGTCTCTGAACAGCCTGCACCCACTGCCCGGGGCCCCAGCTGGGCAGAGGAGGGGCCCTCACATGGTGCCTGGTGCTCCGGTCCCGGGGTCGGATGCATCTGCGGGGGTCTGGCTCCCCAGGGCCAGCTGCCACTTGTGCCAATCCTCCTGGGAGGGGCCGAGAACCTGGCACGGAAATAAACTCGAAAATCACCAGGGACGTGGGCACGGGAAACCCGCAGGGAGAGTGGGCTGCCCGGCCCCGGGTCCACCCTGAGCACAGACCCTGGTCCTCAGCTGGGGGCCGGGAGGGACCGGGAGGGCGGAGGCCGTGCCACCAGGGGCCTCAGGGCAATGCTGGCACCACGGGTGGGGCCACAGCGCCGCTCCCACAGGAGATGCGGTGACGGGGGATGTGCCCCCAGGAGAGGTGCGGGAATCAGAGCGGCCCCGGGGCCGGTGGGAGGGAGCGGTCGGAGCCCCGCGGGCTGACCCGCGCCCGCACACTCACAGCCTGCTGCTCCCCGCTGGGCAGCACGGTGCCGGCCATCCGGAGGAACTGGACAGACATCTCCAGGACGGAGGCCATGTCCTCGCGGCGGCCGTCGAACCGGGGCAGGAGGGCCCGCAGGCGCTCACAGCTCAGGGAGATCCGCTTCCTGCTTCCGGACAAGCCAGACGCCCCTGAGCCTGAGCCTGCCCTGAGCCCACGTCCCCCGCCCCTGAGCCCATGTCCCCCGCCCCTGAGCCTGCCCGCATCCCCACATTGGCCAGGAGAGAGGGCTGCAGCCGCCAGCCCCTCCAGCAGCCGCGGGGGACTCGGAGGGAAGGACACAGGCGCCCCCCCAGGAGTCTGAGTCCTTCAGGATCCTGTCCAGGCTTCCCCAGCCCAGGTCCACCCTCCCTGCCCGGCGTGTGGGAGGCGCTGGGCCTGCAGGAGGCAGCCAAGCAATGACTCTCATCCATGTTTCTCTCTCCCTCTCCCTCTCCCGTCCTCTGAAATCAGTAAGAAGCTATGTATGTGCATTTACAGGAAGATGCCCAGGCTCCAGGCCCAGAGGGGCTGCCTGTGGCCGCCCCCCCCCCCCCCCCCCCCCCCGCCAACGTCCCCTCCTGGGCAGATGCCACCCCACCCCCTTAGAAGCCCGCCCCCCCCCCTCCGCGCCCACCTGCGCTCCCGCTCGCTGAGCACGTTCCGGGGGAGGCAGCCCGCGGGGCTCTGGACGGGACTGGAGCCCCCGCCTGGGTCTGTGCCGGGGAACCGGGCTCCCGGGGAAGGGCTGCTGCTGAGAAGAGTGAACAGCTCCAGGTTCCGCGAACCCCGAGGACGCCACCGCGAACCCCCGGAATGCCACCGCGAACCCCGAGAACGCCACCGCGAACCCCGAGAAAGCCACCGAGAACCCTGAGAATGCCACCGCGAACCCCCAGAACGGCACCGCGACACCGCGAACCCCGAGAATGCCACCGCAAACCCCCGGAACGCCACCGCGAACCCCGAGAACGCCACCGAGATCCCCGAGAACGGCACTGGGAACCCCGAGAACGCCACCGGGGCCCAGGCGAGGTAATGGGCGTTGGTCGGGTGCAGGACAGGCCGGGGGGCCCCCAGGAACATGGCTTTCGCCCCCTACCTCCCTGCCCACCCCCGCCGGGCCCATGGGGGGCTCTGCCCAAGGTGAGCCGGGCTGGGCGGAAGCGCGGGGGCGGGGTACCCCCAGGCACCTCCCCACCCAGCCCCCAGTTCCTCACCCGCACGCCCGGGGGATGGGGACGCTGGGGACCCCGGCGCTGGGCTGGGGGCCTCGGGACGCCATGAGCGCACAGCTGCCCCGCAGGCCTGCGCTCCGCCCGCCCCGCCCGCCACGTGCGCTGCCCACGTGCCCCCGCCCCGCCCCCGGCGCTGCCCACACGCCCCCCGCGCGCGCCCGGGAGGGGGTTCCTGCTCCCCCTGCTCCCCGGGATCCACCCCCGCAGGTGCCCCCAGGCGACAGCCCCAGGCGGGATGCTGGCTGTTTGGAGGCTGAGCCCTGCCCTCCAGGGGTCGCCAGCCGGGGCGGGAGGGGGCGGGGAGGGGCGGCCTGGAGGAGAAATGGTGACGCCAGGGCGCTGGGCAGCAGGCCAGGGGGTGCCCCCGGGAGCCAGGTACGACCCCTCTGGGGAAGGAACTGGTCTTACCGAGGGAGGGGCTGCGGGTGCCGGAGGAGATGGACGGGGCAGGTGGAGAGGACGCGGGGCGGCGGGGGGACGCGGGGCGGTGGGAGGACGCGGGGCAGGTGGGGAGGACGCGGGGCGGCGGGGGGACGCGGGGCGGTGGGAGGACGCGGGGCGGCGGGGGGACGCGGGGCGGTGGGAGGACGCGGGGCAGGTGGGAGGACGCGGGGCGGCGGGGGGACGCGGGGCGGTGGGAGGACGTGGGGCGGCGGGAGGACGCGGGGCAGGTGGGGAGGACGCGGGGCGGCGGGGGGACGCGGGGCGGTGGGAGGACGCGGGGCGGCGGGGGGACGCGGGGCGGTGGGAGGACGCGGGGCAGGTGGGGAGGACGCGGGGCGGCGGGGGGACGCGGGGCGGTGGGAGGACGCGGGGCAGGTGGGGAGGACGCGGGGCGGGTGGGAGGACGCGGGGCGGTGGGAGGACGTGGGGCGGCGGGAGCTGGTCTGAGAACTGTTTCCCGAGACCCACGCGGCTCCAGGGCGGGTCAGGGGCGAGGTGGACGCGACCCACCGGACGCCGCCGCGATTCCCGGCGCGACCGGCAGGGGGCGCGCGCGGCCCGGCGCCCGAGCCCAGCCCCGCGCGCTCCCCGCGCGCTCCCCGCCCCTTAGCGGAGAGAAAAGTGTTGATTTCGGGTCCCAGCGGAGGAGGAAGTCGCCCGTCGCTCCGACTGGCTTCTCCCTCGGCTCTGGGTCCGAGTCGCCGCCGGCCGCACGATGGGCCCCGACAGGGCGCGCAGCCCGGGGGGCGTCCGCAGGGGGGCGCGGGCGGGGGCGCGCGGCGGGGGCCACACCAACCGGACCTTCGTGTTCGATGACGGCCGATGCGCCCCCAGGTACGGTCGGCGGCGCCCTCCCCCGCGCGGGGGCCGGGTCTGGGCAGCGCCACCCCCCACCCTCCCACCCAGGACCCGCATCCCCAAGGTCCCCACGTCCAGGGCCAGGACCGCCCGCGCCTGCCCGCGACCCCCGTGGGGAACGCGCGTCCCTCTGGCCTCGGGCGAGGCGGGCAGTTACATCCGTGACCAGCAGGTGCCCGGCGGCGTCGGTCTGTCTGCGTCCTTAAGGCGAAGTGGCCGGAGCGCGGCCATGTTAGATGCGGGGCTGTGTCTCCCGGGTGCGGGGAGGTGCGGACCCCGCGCGCCGGAGCCTGAGCTGCGCCAGTGGCGGGGAGTGGGGGGTGCGCTCCTCGCCCCTCCCCGCCCCCTCCCGCCTCGGGCAGAGCCTGGGGAGGGCCTCGTGGGGGTGGCAGGGCTGTGCCCAAGGGGCAGGGGCAAGGGTACCCCACATAGAAGCGGGGTTTCAAGGGCGTCTTTTCCCAGGAGGAGCCCTGATTGGGGTGGGGGTCAGGGAGAGGGCGGGGTCATGGTCTCCAGCCGCTGATTTTCATCCGGTGACTTCTCTTACCCCCCCCCCCCCCTCCATTTGCCCAGCGCAGGGAGCGGGTGAGCTGACAGGGGCTTCCTGGGGGCCAGCAGCGCTCGGGAGCGGCCAGGAAGAGGGGGGACAGCCCAGGCGGGCGCTGCCTCTCTCCCCTGCTCTGTGCCCCGGACCCCAGCTGGGTGGAGCCCTGTCCCTGGGTCCTGCTTGGCTGGGCTGTTCTGAGGCCAGAGGTGGCGGCAAGGATGCCTGAAAGGCGGGCAGCCTGGATGTGAGGCCGGGGCTGACACGACCGTTCGTCCTGCGGGACTCGGGTCCCGTGTGTGACGTCAGGTGGAGAGGTTTCTGTGGGGACCAGGCCCGGGAGGGAGCGTTTCCAGCCACGTGCCAAGGGTCGGGGTGGTCCTTCTTCAGGACAGCACTGCCTGGCACCGGCGGGGGTGCAGGGGGGACAGCCTGGGGAGGAGTGCATGCTGGGAGAGCAGGCTGTCCCTGTGGGTCACCCCTCCTGCTCAGGGACAGGCTCCCCTGCCAGGGGACAGCTCTCCTTCTCCAGGTGCAGCCCGACACGCTGCTGCGGCCGAGGGAACAGTGTCCCCACCTCTGCCTGGCAGGCTCCCCAGGCCCCCGGACACTGGCCCCGGCTCGGGGTCAGCACTGCCCAGCAGCTCTGCTTAGGCCTGTGTTCGGTCGCTAGGCACCTCTGAGCGGCTACCGCGTGTCTGGCCAGGGGGTGGGCACTCAGGCAGCTTCAGCCTCAGGACGGACGGGACGAGGGTCCCAGGCACCCAGGGGTGAGCGCTGGCCCTGTGACCTGGACGTGACCCTGCCAGCGCACACTGAGTGGTCCTCGCGGGAGTGCGGGAGTGCGGCGGGGCTCTGCCCAGAGGCGGGCTCAGGCGGGCGGGTGGGTGGGGTGGGAGGCAGCCCGTGGGCCGGGGAAGGTCAGGGGTGGTGACGGCCCCATGCCCACGCCCGAGTCCTGGTGTCCACACCGCTGCCGCCCTTCCCCCGTTCTCTGGGCCAGCTTGGCGCCCGCAGAAGCTGCTGGAAGCGTCAGTTTTCGTGAGTGCAGTTTGAATCTGCTCGGCGATTCGTCTGAGCTTCCCCCTGGGACCTGTCGCCTCTCTGAGGCGGTGTGAGTGCCAACGCCCTTCCCCGGAGACACCTCGCCCGGCTGAGGCTCTGTGATTACGTGGAGAGGAAGCGCCTCGCTCTGTGCCCTGGGAGAGAGACCTTCGGCAGCTTCCCGCTTGCCGGGGCACCGAGCCCAGCAGACGACCGCCCCACCTCAGTGCCCGGCCGTGTCCTCGGGACTCTTCTGGACGCTGGGCAGGACGGGTGAGCTGTGCTCATGCACACATGTGTGCACGGCCCACGATGCCCACTGCACACGCGCACATGTGCATGCCCCATGTATGTGCACGCACACCCATGCGCACACACACGGGCACACATGCACACCTTCTCTCACCCCCGTTCCTCTGTCAGTCATGGCTCTCCAGACTCCTTGGGAAATTTGACCTGAGAGTGAACGATCCAAGAGTGCATCTTGGGAGAGGGACTGGTCCCGCAGCCAAAGGGGGTGTCCCTCAGTCACACGCCGGGTCCTGGACAGTCAGCCTGCACGTTACACACAACCTGGGCCCATGGAAGGAGTTTGGGGGACACTTTCTCAGGACGCCACCTGTCAGGCTGAGGAGCAGGCCCTCCTCCCCGGGCCCGCCCAGGGACAGCTCATAACACAGTCACACACCGCCAGTCTCCGTGTGGCACTGTGACTGAGACGTGCCCTTTAACCCCCCACTGCCCTCCGAACTGAGGTCCCGGAGCGCAGGGGATGGTCTGTGCCTCATCTGCAAGCCGGTGGCCCAGTGAAGCCCCCGCTGGTTGGCGTTCCTTCCGGGCGGAGCTGTGTTTGGGGTTGTCCTGCGTTTACCGACGCGTCCACAGCCCCAGGGACCTGCTGGTTCACGGCGGCACTGTCCGGGGTGAACGGCCGTCTGGGCGGGGTGCGGCCTCACCACGGCTGATGGGCCCTGCCTCCTGCACAGAGACGGCGTCCCGGCGGAGACTGCAGGCCCGAAGCCGCTGTTGCGCGAGTGGGTACGCGGCTCTCGGGGCAGGCGTGCTGCATGGTGGGGGCCGCCCGCCAGCGTGTTGTGGCCGCTTGGCTCTGCTCTTTGCTGGCCAGGGAGGTGGGAGCATGTCACGTAAATGGTGGTTTACGTTTCCATTCTCCTCAAAGCTGCCGCTCGCCCATCTTTTGCTGCCGTCTGTCTTTCCCGCCAGACCGGCGGTGTTGTGGGGGGTCCCTGACCCTGACCGACCCTGCAGACGCGCCCTCCCGTCCGTCGCTGCTCCTTTCTCTCCACTGGGCTGTCCCCCACTTTGGGGCTGTGGTGGGTCTTAGTTTAGCTCACAGAAGGCCACCTGGTCCCAGTGCTGCCGGCCGAGGCCAGGCCGGTCACTTCACCGCCCTGTGCCTCCATTTCCCATCAGCAAATGGGGCGCCGTCCCCACCCCTGGGACCTGGGAGCCCCCGTGTATCAGCCGCAGGACGTATTGCTGACGAGTCCCCCCCACTGCCTCCTTTGACGTCCTCAGTGCCCCTCCCTGCGCCCTTTCTTGCCCCCTCCCTCCCCCAGGTTTGCCGGCTGTGGCCACAGGTCCAGCCCCTCCTGGTTTGCTCACACCCACCTGCACTGTTCTTGCCAATGTTGACTTCAACACGAATTTTGGAAACGGTTTGTCAGGTTCTGGGGAGACGGCCGTGTGTTGACGGGCGCTGATGAACACGGTCTGCAGCCCCTGGGACGGGCTCGCCTCCCTCAGTGCCGGGTTCCCGCGGGAGCGCCGGGTGGTCTCCCAGGATGTCCGGGTTGGCGTGGGCTCCTGCTCCCAGGCTGCCGGGAGCGGCCGGCCCTCCGCGAACGAGGCTCCGGCTCGGCCCCACCGTCAGATGCTCTCGTTAGTGCTAATGGTGTCTTGGTGGATTCTCTTGGGCTTTCTGGTGAGTGATTGTG